AGGGGCCCTGTCATCTGATCGGATGATGCCATGCAGAGGGGTTTTTTTTTTGTGGCGAGGCACTTCTGATTACAGTAAGTCGGCGGTTGCAGTTATTGAGCAAGACTGATCATTGCACAGAGAGCTGGGCAGTGGTTGTGAGGCCCTTAAAATGATCCCCTGTTAGTTCAGCAGAGTGATGGGCAGTTAAAATATGATATCTCAACAAGGTAAAAGGGACTGATTATGTGGGTGTAAAGCCTAACTGAACAACATTTTGTTTATGGGTCTATGGCATTTCTCAGGGTGGGTTTCTTGATGGTGACAACAGTGGACCTACCTGTGTAGTGTGTGTTGGAATGGCCACCAGTTTAACATATTCAATTTATTGTTGTAGCCAGGTGCCGGCTATATCATTATGTCTTTCAGGGATATTTACAGATGAGACTTTGATTAATTCTTTTCTCCCTAGTGCCCAGTTCTAGGAATGCTACATCACTTCCTTTTAGCAGAATGTATCCAGTTCTTCTGACAGCAGAGGATCTTGGGACCTGTAGTCTTATAGCCAATACATATTGTATTTCTGAGTGCTGATTGAACTACAACTACCAGAGAGCTGGGGAACCAGAAGGATGCCAGGAGAGCAGATATAGTCTACAGCAAGGGACTGGCTCGCTCTCTTGGGTGGGGGATTCAGAGCTGAACACAGGGGGACTGCTGTTTTTCCTTCAGAGACAGGTTGTTGGCCTACTGCTGTGGGGCTCTGCACATCAGTTCACTGGGATCACATCAGCTTCTCTATATCAGGACTGTCACTATCTGGTCTTCACAGACATCTCTGCTCACTGCAGTAGCAGGTGTCAATTCTGCACATCCCTGCAAACAGCCAAGAGCCTGTGCAAGAACTCTTGTTCCTAGGAGGCCGTGCTATACATGGTATTGGTGAACAGGCGTTTGTCCAACCTTTCTCTGTCATCACTCTACTGCTGGCACCACTTGCACTTCAGTATCAGAGCTGATTCACACATGTGCGGTGCGGATTGAAGCTCAGGTTTCACAACTAATTGACATTATAGTTGTTCAGCAGTTCAGGTCAGGTTTACATCAGGTTTAGGTCAGGATTTTATCCTGTTCACACATGTGCGGTTTAGAAACGATTCCCATAGAGATTATTAGCCTGTAATCTGCACCTGAACCGGACTGCACTAATCACAAATTGTACAGGATTCCTTTTTAATCCACACTTAATCCGCACAGAATCCACACTGCCAGTGCACCAGACATATGTGAACAAGCACCATAGGAAGCAATTTTATTTCACATGTCATGTGGATTGGATGCGGTTTAAACCGCATCCAATCCTCACATATGTGAACCTGCATTTAGGAGATTTTTGCTTTGAGCAATACCACAGCCTATCTGTCTAACTTCATTGAATTACCAATATTCATTACTGTTTATGGATCCCACCATTGCTAGCAGAAGACAACAGACACCACCATATCAGGAACTTTAAAAACATTATAGCACTTAAATTGCAATCTCTAGTTAAAGGGACATCTTCTCTTCTAAGGCCATTGTTATTCAAATTAGGATACTTATATCTACATATGTCGGAATATACATTTATATACTTCTCTGCATCCACCATTTCAGTGCTGGTGGCCTATAGAGATCAGATAAGTCAACAAGCCTTTTCTTCCCCCTCTTACTGCTGATGTTTCAGTTTAATAGTTGAAGCTTACTACTCAAGACAGTATAATTTGTTAAACACTGTTATCCTATTTTACCAGAGTTCTATTTTTTTATGTTAACTGGGGTTGTATATCCTAAACGGGGGGGGAAGGATCAGCAACCTGTAGATCGTGATCTACCAGTAGATCCCAGGCCAGGTGCTGGCTCCTTTTCATTGCAGAGTCATACCAACTGCACTCCACCTCTTATCCTGGCTAATGGTCTCGAGTGGTGCCAGCAGCAGGAAAGAAGAGCTCTTCAGATCAATGTGAAGCAATACACTGGGCATAATAGTAAAGGGTTGCTTTCACACTGATGTGCTGTGGTTTACCCACACCACTGGCGCAGTGCAGTGTACCTGCAGCTTTCCTGTGGGTTATCTGCACTTAATCTTCTGTAGCACTACCCCCTTAGGAATTGCTGAAGAATTTGAGTCCCCCTATAGTCCTGCACAGCCAGTCAGTTAGCACTTTCCACACAACTTTCATCCACAGATAGAAATCAGGCTTTGAGCATTGATTTTGTTGTTTTATTGAGGGGATTACACTTGGATAGGGTATAGGGATGTATAGGATTACCAAGGGAACTGAAACAGTTTTTTGCATATCCATCCCTACCATCAGGGGCCCTGGTAAAGAAGCAGGCTAAAACCTAGACTCCAAACCCTGGGGAACTCCAAGTTGGCTTTCTACAAGGGCTCACTACCATAGAAACCTGACATTGACAGTGTCAATTGACAGTGTCATGCTTGCAAGAATTATTGTAACAGTTAATTTCAGCAAAGTCCAATAGGATTTGAAAATTACAGTCACATGGCTAAAATAAAGCTCCTTATCTATGTGTTAAAACTTTGTGAATCAAGACTTCTGTTTTTTTTAGAAAGAAAGAAAAAAAAAGCATTACCTGCATTTCTTTAGCCATAGAGTAGCCATTAGAAAGTATCTCAGCAAAAATTAAACTTTTAGGGCAATGGTCTCCAAAGTGTTGCCCAAGAGCCTTTGCTCACCTTTATCTAACTCTGGGGGTTCCGTTCTTCCCACTGATACAAGGCACTATTGCTCCCACTGGCACCAACGAAGAGGCATCATTACTTCCACTGACACCAATGATGAGGCACCATTCCTTCTACTGAAACAAACAGTGGGGTATAATTCCTCCCACTGACATATACAATTGGGAACTACATCTCCCACTAATAGCAATAATGGGGCACTAGTCCTCCTCCTACTGACCACAGGCACTATGTAATTTTTTTTCACTCCCTCTAACCACCAAGCCTGAGACATGGGGGAGATTTACTAAAACTGAAGCACTCAGAATCTAGTGCAGCTGTGCATGGTAGCCAATCAGCCTCTAACTACAGCTTCTTCAATTAAGCTTTGGCAATACAATCTGGAAGCTGATTGGCTACCATGCATAGCAACACCAGATTTTGCACTCTCCAGTTTTAGTAGCCCCCCCCCCCCCCCATTGTCTACTCCAACTGATGCTGGGGCATTTTCTACTCCCGCTGTCCACATGTCCAAACCCACTAATGCAGGCTATACATGGGTCGAATTCCAAACAAATTTTCTTTAGAAAATCAGAAATTTTGTGCATAATCCGATGGTGCCACCATTGATTTGGATAATTCAACTAACCATGCCTTCAATTTCACCTCATGTTGCTACAGAAAACAATTTTCGTGGCCAATAATCTTCTTTCCTTTCCAAGTCACAGCTCATGCTCATTTCTTTTTCGTTTATATTTCTCGCACGATTCTCCCATCACTGATTCGAAGTTCGTTCATTTTTTCCAAAAATTTCCAACATGCCGATCACTCAAATTCGATAGTCAAACGAATATCGGCCATTTCTATGACCCACTAATGGTGCAAAATTTGAACGAAAATTCTTAGAAAAGATTTTCTAAAGAAAATTATTTTGGAATTCGACCCATGTATGGCCGGCTTTAAGTCTGAAGGACAGTAAACTGGCCCTTTGTTTAGAAAGTTGTTCCAGGGGCAAAGTTATAAAGCAGCAAATGTGACATTCACCAAATATTCACTGCAGGTAACTCTTTTTGGTGCATGTGTTTTTAATTACAGGAAATGATTAACCATCTGTAGAAAAAGTCTTTAACGAGATACTGCCATTTTGTCAAAGCCTGACAAAGTAAGTGTCTCTGAAAAGAGTATTCCCAGCACTTTTAAGACCTGTTCACTCCAATGTCTGTTGACATGATGTTGTATCATTCAATTTAAGTGGCACTCTGACCCCCTCCTTGCCAACTGACATGTGTTGCAGTGCTTCACTACTGTGCATTGTAGTGTTCTTCGTTACAGATAACTTTATGTGCATAGTTTTGGTGTGCTTTGGTGCATGCACGTTAATGTGCAATTGTGTGAAGGAACCTTTATATTCACCTTATCTGCAATCCCACCCAGCTCCTTGACCCTCCACAGCCAATGCTAAAATTGATTGATGTTAATTCCCTGCTCATATGACAGTGCTTGGACCTATAAATGGTTGCTAGATTCAGGCAATGTCAAAGGGAAGTGGGTCCTCCATACCAAGAATTGCCATGTTCTCTTAAAGGCTGTGAAGAAGTAAGAAGCTGCAAAGAAGCGCAGGTAAGGTAAAAATAAAGAGGTCGAGGGATGGACCTTTGCAGGGACACTTTTAGAACAATGAAAAAAGCCACCTAAGTAGGCAGGTCAGCCTACATATTTCTTCTCTGTCTCATCATAAATAAAGATGTGAGTTATAACCGAAGAAAAAAATGCAAACAAAAAACAGCCGTAAGAGCAGACTGTGGAAAGATGGTTCTGAATAAACCCAAGCAGAGTAATATTATTAAAATTGCAAATCTTAGTAAAAAAAATGAAACCTGATGGGTGGTCAATTTCAGGAAGTCACCTCATCCAATCGGTATGACTTCTAACTTATTTCACTATACACCTAATGGACGGTGCCTGTTGTCTGGATTGTCTTTGATGTATATGATTCATTTTTGTGGTTGTGCCTGATTGACTGCACCGTGTCCCCTGGTCCTGCCACATGGCCCCCCAGGGCTCTCTATTCTAGGGTAACTGGAATTTACAGACCCAATCCTTTTCAATCTATATGATTATTCATGACAAAGGACATTGCCCTGCAGCACCCAGGATACTGGTGACCACATTGTTCTCTTCACATCCATTATACTCACTGCATATTTTTGATTCTTTACCCCTAGCAAGGCCTTACTATTTTTTATCAGTGGCATTTATTTAGGTATCCATGTGATTCTTGGCTGACTTAATTGATGTTACTGACCAGGGGCGGACTGACCATTTGGAAACTCAGGCACTGCCCGAGGGCCCGGGGTCAGTAGGGGGCCCCATGAGATGCCCCTGGTACCTTTTTCATAGGTTTTTTTGAGTTTGGGCAAGGACACAGGGGCCCCATAATCCCCTATTGCCCGGGGGCCCCATGAGTTGTCAGTCCGCCCCTGTTACTGACTGTGTGTTTCATGTGTCTGTTTACCTTGCAAGGTTTAATTTTTTATCTAAGGTTCACAATAAAGTTTTTGTATTAATTTGAAATTTTTACTCTGCTTGGGTTTATTCAGAACCGTCTTTCCACAGTCTACTCTTACGGCAGTTTTTTGTTTTACACTGTCACTTTTTCCTGCCTAGGCAAGGCAACAGGGTCTCTTTAAGTTGATTTCAGTCAGTACAAACCTCTGGGAAAAGCAGGGAGCCAGTTACACATGTATTATATAAGAAATGGACGCATTCTGCATACAACAGAGTTTAGAACACCATTTGTCATACTGCATAGAAGTGATAGTTAAAATTTTTTGACAATTTTAAAGAATTGTAGCAAGCAGAAGATTTAAACAGAAATGGCTCATCTAGCATATATAATCATGAAGCATAGGTGGAGTCTTCCTTTCATATCTTGCTGGATCGCTCTTCTCGCAGTGAACGCACACTCATGTGACTCATCGCAGCTCTACCTGCGAATCTCTAGATGATCTCATTGCAGGCTGTGAGCCGCCCACAGAAAGTTACAGGGAGAAGAAAGTGTTTGGGAGCTGGGCCCTGTAATGCAGACAAAAAAGCTTCTGTGCAGGGTGTGGTAATGGGTGTTGGCAAGAGGAACAGCATGGTACCTCAGTTGCCATGGAAACTAAGAAGTATTACACATGAATAATTACAGGCCTGTCAGAGAGAACACGAGAGCAGGAAAATCTACAGCATCTGAAGCATTTCAAGGAGCTGATCCTTAGGCTGGATCTCATATATTTCATTCTTTTCCATTTAGCAAAATGGTATTTTTATATAAAATATATAGTATTTTACTCAGAGATACAGTTGTATTAGTAGAAGCTATGGCTGTCACCTAGATGGCAGTCTGCCTATAAAAAATGGGACATGGAAATCAAGAAGACGGCAGCTTTAGAGGGCATTTTAAGGCAGAACTAAACCTAATTCATAGGAAATTGTGAACAGGCAACTCTTTATGCTCTGTACACATCTGGGAGTTTTGTATTGCCGGCAGAATCACTGCGATGACAAATCTCACCATGCTTGTTCAGGTGCCATTCATTTTCAACGTCACCTAAACCGTGGTGTGATTTTGCGATGATTGTTGTGCTGCAGTCGTGCAAACCGCAACGCATGAAGCTTGGCGCTTCAAAAGAAGTTCCTGCTCCTTTTTGGGCAACAAGCTTTGCGCGATGCGGTTGCAACGGTTGCGGTGCAATTCATCGTGTAAGAATTACGGCGGAACTGAACCACATACACATGGCAACTTTCAGGTGATTAGAGCCACTTTCGATCAAACGGAACAAACAATCAAAGGTGGTTGAAACCAAGCAATCTACCACCTACAATTTCAATTGACAACCTGAATTTAGTCATTCAGACTGGGCTATAAACTGACATCTTTGATACAGATTATTATAAAGACTGCAACAAACCAAAAAAAAAATACAGCAATTTCTTTGAAATGAATCTGGTTTTTCTGCCGGGTTTGATCAAGGCAATTTCTATCCAATCTCCTTGTGGAGGATTGAGATCTTCTAATTTCCACTGTTTGTCATATGAGATTTTGATTACAATTTAAAAATAGTTCAAACTGATGGTAAATGGAGGCGCAGACATCCCAAGAACAAACAATGCGACATTGCAGTTGAGCAGTCCTTAGATGTGAATGCATTAGTCTTTTTCAGGTTTCTTTTCCTTCATAGTTACTTAGGGGGAGATTTACTAAAGCTGGAGAGTCCAAAATCAGACTCATAGAAACCAGTCAGCTTCTAACCTCAGCTTGTTCAATGAAGCTTTGGCAATGAAACCTGGAAGCTGATTGGTTTCTATGTAGAAGTGAGTCTGATTTTGCACTCTCCAGCTTTAGTAAATAAACCCCACTAGTGTCTAGTTGAAAAATGACACAAGTCCAGTTCAACCAATAAAAAGGGAAAAAAATGTATACAATCTTATATACACAATCCTATACCCACAGTCGATCCAAAGGAAGGCAAAAAAAACCCCAATAAAGGAAGATCCTATTTGCTCAAGAAGGGGAAAAATTTCTTTCTGATCCCCCCGAGAGGCAATCAGATATTCCCTGGATCAACTTTACCTATATATATTATTATAATAATATTTATAGGTAATTTATAATATTATAATCTGTGTATTTAGGAAATAATCCAGAACTTTTTTTAATGCAATCCACTGAGCTGGCCAGAACCAACTCTTGAGGACGTGTATTCCACATTTTCACAGCTCTTACTGTGAAGAAGCCTTTCTGAATTTGGAGATTAAATCTCTTTTCCTCCAGATGTAAAGAGTGCCCCCTTGTCCTCTGTGATGACCTCAGGGTGCATAGCTCTACACCGAGTTCACTATATGAACCACTGATGTATTTATACATGTTGATCATATCCCCCCTTAATCTCCTCTTCTCAAGAGAGAATAAATTCAGTTCCTCTAATCTTTCCTCATAGCTGATCTCCTCCATGCCTCTTATCAGTTTGGTTGCCCTTCTCTGTACTTTCTCCAGTTTCCCAATGTTCTTTTTGAGAATTGGTGCCCAAAATTGAACTGCATATTCCAGATGAGGTCTTACTAATGATTTGTACCGGGGTAGAATGATATCTGTCTCTGGAGTCTATACCTCTTTTAATACAAGAGAGAATTTTGCTCACTTTAGAAACCGCAGCTTGGCATTGTATGCCATTATTAAGCTTGTGATCTACCAGAACTCCCAGATCCTTCTCCACTATTGTTTCCCCCAGTTGTACCCCCCCTAGTATGTATGATGCATGCATATTCTTAGCCCCCAAGTGCATAACCTTACATTTATCAACATTAAACCTCATTTGCCACATAGTTGCCCAATTAAACAGTGCATTGAGGTCGGCTTGTAAGTTGGAGACATCCTGTAAGGATGTTATTCCACTGCACAGCTTGGTGTCATCTGCAAAGACTGAAATGGTATTTATAATCCCAGACCCTATATTGTTTATAAATATATTAAAAAGTAAGGGTCCCAACACTGAACCTTGGGGTACACCACTGACAACCCTAGACCATTCAGAGTATGAATCATTAACCACTACTCTCTGAATACGATCTTTTAGCCAGTTTTCTATCCATTTACATACAGATTTTTCCAAGCCTGTAGACTTTACTTGAAACATTAGCGTGTGTGGGGAACTGTGTCAAACGCTTTTGCAAAATCCAAGTATACCACTTCCACAGCCACTCTCTGAGTAAAGTTCTCCGCACTGAGTCTGCTTTGATCCGCAGTCTGTGTTTGCAGCTGGAGTTGGTGGCTTAATTGTAAATGCCCTGGACAGGAAGGGGGGTAAACGTGTCCGGACAGGAAGTGGTTAAAGGAACACATTTTTTACTTTGTATTTTAAGTTGTGTTGAAAAAGGTGAGCCATTTACTTAAAGAGGTGAGGGACACTGGGTGCTTTGACATCACACCTTTATGCAAAGGGAATTTTTGTACAAATTAATTTCAATATATATATATATATATATATATATTTATTTATTTATTTATTTATTTGCACATATTGCACATATTACTTGTCTAATTATTATGGACACAATAAATATTTTGAAAGTGATCATTTTATATAGTATTATTTTAACAATTTTTCTTGTTTTAGGTAGTTTAACATTTGAGATTTTGAGTTCGGTCATACAGATATTTTTTTCTTTGCACACTCCACAGTGAGTTTAGTGACTGCAGCTGGCTATTTATTTATTGTATCTTTGGCGTGGAGCTTTTCACATTTATACAGCCACTCCTTTGTCTAAGGTTTTGCTTACCTTCTCATAAAAAGAAATCAGATTTGTTTGACAACTTCTGTCTTTCATGAATCCATGCTGTCTGGTACTTAAAATATTTTTTTCCAGCAAGAACTCATCTATGTGGTCTTTTATTAAACTCTCCAGTATCTTCTCAATTATAGACGTTAAACTAACAGGTCTATAGTTAATTGTTTAAGAATTTGACCCGTTTTTAAATATAGGCACCACATTGGTCTTATGCTAATCCAGTGGTATTATGCCAGTCATTAAAGAGTCTCTAAATAATAGAAACAATGGCTTTGAAATCACGGAGCTCAATTCTTTTTAGGACCTATTGGTGTATACCATCTGATCCAGGTGCTTTATTCACCTTTAAATATTTCTGAATCGTATCAATTTTGAGCCATTGTGGATCATTTGGTGCTGTGTTAATATCATCCGCATTATCCAGTGGCTAAATGGTTAGCACTTCCACCTGGCAGTACTAGGGTTGTGGTTTTGAATCCCAACCACCTGCCTGAAGTTTGCTTGCATGTTCTCCCTGTGCCTGTGTGGGTTTTCTCCAGGTACTCTGGTTTCCTCCCACACTCCAAAGACATGCTGGTAGGTAAATTAACATACTGTCTATATTGGCCCTAGTATGTGTATGTATGAACGTGAGTTAGGGACCTCAGATTGTACACCCTTGAGGGTTCGGGACCAATGTGAATGTACAATATATATGTAAAGCGCTGCGTAAATTGATGGCACTATATAAGTACCTTAGATTGTACACCCCTTGAGGGTTAGGGACTGATGTGAATGTACAATATATATATGTAAAGCACTGCGTAATTTGATGGCGCTATATAAGATCCTGAAATAAATACATAATAAATAAGTATCTGAAAATAAATAAAAATAAATTATGGACATGAGCTCATTGTCAAATGATGATCCTTCTGGTAAAACCTTTTCTGTCTTAGGGTGACATTGCTCAGTCATTGTACCCTATATATGGATATCATGCTCAAAAGCAGCCTAACCAGTCATTGCAGTCCTTTAATAAAAGACCTCATGCTACGTGCCTCAACTAGAAGTAATCCTAGATCCAGCTTCTGCCATCACATTTCTTTTAAAAATAACAAAGGGACCTGGATCAGATGCCAAATGTGATCAGATTCAAACTGGAACATTTGAAGGCCCATTTAGACCTGTCCCGCATGTGCCTTGTGTTAACTCAGGCATAATAATGCGGGTTGTGTCATGTGTTCATGCGTGTTGAGGTAAGGCAGACCATTCATTTTAAATGGTTTGCTAGCTCAAAAGACTAGACCAAAAACAGGAAACGCAGCATTATTTTTCGGACGCAATGCTCCACAATACACGGTAGCGTGTTACTATGCATTGTGGTGCAATGGACCTGTGTTGTTTTAATACTTAGGGGTGGCATTCAAAACCACAACCCATGGTGTGTTTAAACCCTAAATATAACCAAGTGCGAACAAAAAGGGATTATTAGTTTTGGGCAGACTTTTTTCTGTTTGGATAGAGTGCAGAGGGATTAGAACACCTCGGGCGGACTGACCATTTGGAAACTCTGGCACTGCCGATGGCCCAGGGTCAGTAGGGGGCCCAATGAGATGCCCCTGGTACCTCTTTCATAGGCTTTTTTGAGTTTGGGCAAGGACACAGGGGCCCCATGATCCCCTATTGCCCGGGGGCCCCATGAGTTGTCAGTCCGCCCCTGGAACACCTGTCATTTTTTATTGCAGTCTGTGCCCCCAATAGGGAGATTCATCCTCTATTTGTCCTGTTTAGCATTATCATTGAAAGTGAAAATAAGAAAATCCCTAATTTTCAGTTGTCCCCAGAAAAGAAATAGAAGGGAAATCTTCCAGTGGGGACACTGGTTCTGGTGACGTGGGGGTTCCCAAGGAATTCCCTTAATCTGAAGGGATTTCCTCTCACTTCTTGCTTGGCTATGGGACAGGAAGTGAAGGCAAATCTCCATAATGGGACACAGAAGGCGAAAAATAATCTGAGAGGGGTTATAACTCTCCCTTACTCTATCCAAAATAAAAAAAAAAGGTTTTGCCTACAGTTCTACTTTTAGTTTTTGTAATTGTAGATTGTAAATACAAAAACAATTTGAATATTTATCAAACATACCCTAGTTTTGGTAAAATAAATTATAACCTTTTTTGAGTAAATTGATTATGATGTTCTCTTCTCTCTAATATTTGAGCCATCATTTCATGTCTAGTAATGTTCTGTAGCAGGAGGATTGCACAATATGGAGACAATTATCATGAAGGACAGTTTATATGATCCAGGTGAGTTTGGGATCAGGGCTTTGCTTCCACTTATGTAGAACTTTACTTACAGATCAGTGAAGAAGCCTTTCTAATGTTTATGCTAAGTAATATTCCTAGGAAATGTATAAATTAATCTCTATGTTACTATAAATGACACTATAGTGACATAGAGATGCATTTACACATTTCCTAGGAATTGTGTTTTTATCTTTATTTAGTGCTTTTTAATTTAAACCGCAGCAGAGTATTGAGCCAGTATAATCAGTCTATCAGTCTTCATTATTAGTACCGGAGGCCATTTTGCTGTGGACCTCCAATTAGAGCATTTTTGCTCTAATATAATTTGTCCGGAAATGTTGTCTCAGTACCTCCTGAAGATGCCGCTCTGGTGAAACGTACGTAGAAGCGCTGAGACTGTCACTTCCGATTCCCATATGATATCACGTCTAGCCCACAGAACGGAGGCTTGGAACGCACGACAGCCAACAGAGGCTGCACGGCGACTAACATCCAATACAGGCCGTATACACTGGTGCTGGTAATACAAGCACCTTGTAATATGCTTTTAATGGATATTCATTTGATGAAGCACATGGGATCCACTCCTTGACCTAAAGCACTCTTGGGAGATCATCATACGTTGTTTCACCTACTTGTAAAAAGGGGTCAAAACCCTCTGGTGAGTGCACTTCTTTTTTTTTTTTTTTGGACACAGGTGGTGAATAGTTGGGGAGATTGGGTTGATCCCATATCCTCTAAAGGACTTACATCAATGTGTAGTGTTGTGTTATACACTGTGGCGGACATTTACTTTTATTTCTCATCTTTTTGGTTTCTACTCTACACAAATTTGTATTTATGTATTTTTGATGTATTATCGGGAATCTAGCAAGCGCCTATCTTTATTTCAGCATATTGTATCACTAGTGTTTAACACCAAAAGGGGCATCTGCATAATCTGGAATCTGCATTCATTTTGTTTGCACTTGAATATCTGTTTTTTTTTTGCATTGGATAGGCGCCACTGAATTGGTAACATAACTTTTATAATACATATTCACAAAATATATCTGTGCAGGAATGACAGGCCATTGCACACTGCTGACGTCACTGAAATTAATTTATTTTTTTAAACAACCACAAGCGCTTCAATCACAGTCCTACCCTAGGACCATCCTGTTGGCACGTTTCACCAAATAAGGTTTAATCATAGAGATTCCTCTATTTGTTCATGCACCAAGTTCATGAGTGTGAACAGGTCAGCTTGATTTTCAGCACCCAGCTTTCAGATGGCAGTGGGGAAAGGTGGCTTAGAGCAGAGAGGAATATGTCAGTGTCACAATACTTATATGTTTAAGTTTGCACATTGATCCTGATGGTGGGTTCAATGAGCAAACATGCAAGGACAGCACAGTAAAGGAGATCCAGAACCTCCTTCACTTCACATGAGTGAGCACAGCTCGGTACATTCACAGATATGCCAAAGGGCTCTGCACGTGCTGGATATTGAACATGTTTGCACCAGTGGAAAGGATTTGGAAGTGTGGTCAAGGGGGCTAAAGTTCCTCTTTATTTTAGTACAAGTTTTTTCTTTTTCTACAATGTTTTTTCATAGCACTCAAAGATGAGCAGCACCATCAATCAAATGTAGATTTAGACTAAATACAATTGGTTTCCATGAAGAAAAAGGTACTTTATTGTTTATGTTACATATCTAGGACGTTCTTTCTGCCTTTGGAGACCAATATTGGAAAAAAGCATGACTGTGTGAGAACTGTCAGGAAACTTGGCGTATCTTCAGTGTAGTGAAACAAGGAGATGTCACAGTCTGGCGTAGGTGGCAGAGAGCTCCTGAGGTTTCTTGTAAGACAGATGGTAACAATGGAAATGTTCTGACTTTTTTCTTTGGTTGCAGAGGCTCTGTGTTGTTGTGGCCTATTGACAGGGACATTAGTAGGAGAATGGCAGCAAGACATTTTAAAATCTATTGTTAACAATTAGAGATGAGCGAATCGAACTCGGCGAAGTGGAATTCGTTTCGAATATTAGGAAAATTTCGATTCGCGACGAATCCGAAAATTAGCAGACTTCGGATGCGCGAATCGAAATTTTTCCTAAAATGGCGACCCATAATGCATTCATTCATGACATGTGATCGCATTAGCCAATCAGCAGCCAGCCAGCCAGCACTGTGTAATGGTCGAGCTATAAATGGCGGCCATTTTAGAATTCTCCATTTGCCTCCAGTCATTCAAGAGAGGTAGACCTGGCTGTATTGAGGGAGAGAGTTAGGGACACAGAAACGTTACTTAGGGACACAGATACGTTACTTAGGGACACAGAAACGTTACTTAGGGCCAGAGAAACGTTACTTAGGGCCAGAGAAACGTTACTTAGGGACACAGAAACGTTACTTAGGGCCACAGAAACGTTACTTAGGGCCACAGAATCGTTACTTAGGGCCAGAGAAACGTTACTTAGGGACACAGAAACGTTACTTAGGGCCACAGAAACGTTACTTAGGGCCACAGAATCGTTACTTAGGGCCACAGAAACGTTACTTAGGGCCACAGAAACGTTACTTAGGGCCACAGAATCGTTACTTAGGGCCACAGAAACGTTACTTAGGGCCACAGAAACGTTACTTAGGCCACAGAATCGTTACTTAGGGCCACAGAAACGTTACTTAGGGCCACAGAATCGTTACTTAGGGCCACAGAAACGTTACTTAGGGCCACAGAAACGTTACTTAGGGCCACAGAATCGTTACTTAGGGCCACAGAAACGTTACTTAGGGCCACAGAAACGTTACTTAGGGCCACAGAATCGTTACTTAGGGCCACAGAAAACGTTACTTAGGGCCACAGAAACGTTACTTAGGGCCACAGAAACGTTTACTTAGGGACACAGAACCGTTTACTTAGGGCCACAGAAACGTTACTTAGGGACACAGAATTGTTACTCAGGGACAGACACAGAATTGTTACTGAGGGACACAGAATTGTTACTGAGGGACACAGAATTGTTACTCAGGGACAGACACAGAATTGTTACTCAGGGACAGACACAGAATTGTTACTCAGGGACAGACACTGAATTTGTTACTCGGGGACAGACACTGAATTGTTACTCAGGGACAGACACAGAATTGTTAATGAGTGGACACAGAATTGTTACTGAGTGACACAGAATTGTTACTGAGGACAACAGAATTGTGAGCGCGTGAGGGACAAGACAACAGAATTGTTACTGCAGGTACAGAAACAGAATTTGTACTCAGGGACAGACACAGAATTGGTTTCTGGAAGGGACACAGACTTGTTCTGAGGACACAGAATTGTTACCAGGGACAGACACAGATTGTTTTTACTCCAGGGACAGACACAGAATTGTACACAGGACAGACACAGAATTGTTACCTGAGGACAACAGAATTGTTACGAGTACACAGAATTGTTACCTTGCGGGACACAGAAATTGTTTACTCAGGACAGACACAGAATTGTTACTGAGGACACAGAATTGTTACTGAGGGACACAAAATTGAATACTACAGCCCGGAAAAGACACAGAATTTTACTCTGGGACAGACACAGAGAATTTTGTTACTCAGGGACAGACACAGAATTGTTACGAGGACAAAAAGAATTGTTACTGAGGAAAAAACAGAATTTTGTTACTCGGGACACAGAATTGTTTCTCAGGGACACAGAATTGTTATCCCCGGGAAGACACGAATTTTACTAGGGACACAGAATTGTTTTCTGAGGGACACAGAATTGTTTAAAAGGGGCACAGAATTGTTACTGAGGGGCCCCGAATTGTTTTCTGAGGGGCACCGAATTGTTACTCGGGACCAAAAAAATTGTTACTGAGGACACAGAATTGTTACTCAGGGCCGACAAAAAATTGTTTTGAGGGGGACAGAATTGTTTCTGGGACACAGAATTTTACTAGGGACACAGAATTGTTACCAGGGCACAGAATTGTTACTCAGGGGCAGACACAGAAATTGTTACTGAGGGGCACAGAATTTTTACTCAGGGACACGAAATTGTTTCTAGGAACAAAACCCAAAAAGAAGACCAGGGACAAAAAAATCCAAAGAATTGTTTCTCAGGGGGCACAGAATTGTTACGGGGGCCCAAAATTTTTACCAGGGAACAGAAAAATTTTTACTAGGGACACAGAAAATGTTTAGCAAGAAGACAAAAAATTGTTACAAGGGGGCACGAAATTTTACTCGGGGAGACACAGAAAGTTATAGGGACACAGAATTGTTACTCAGAAGACAAAAGAAATTGTTACTCAGGACACAGAATTTTTACCCAGGGGAAAAACAGAATTGTTACTGAGGACACAGAATTTTAAAAGGGACACAGAAAAATTTTCCAACACCAAAGGAGGGGCACAGAATTGTTACCAGGGAACCAAAGGAAAAACACAGAATTTTACTAGGGGCACAGAATTGTTTTTGGGGGGCCCCAGAATTTTTACTAGG